ATCCAGATGAAACCCACTGAGCCACATTTGAAATGGGCGCAGTGACAGCAGGCCCAAGGGCACGACCCGGGTGAGTGAGGTCAGTTTGCCTAGTAGCTGCAGGAAGGTAAGGTAAGGAAGCCGCCTGCCCAGCCTGAATTGACTGATGTGCCGGAGAACATTGTCCACCCTCTGAACAGACGGGTAGGCTGTCATGGAGGGTGAGTCCAAGAACACCCCAAGAAAAGTTGTTGCCTGTGATGGAATCAGGCAGCTCTTTGCTAAGTTGACTTTGAGGCCTAACCGGGATACGTGGGCAAGCAGGCGACTTGTATTGCGAGACACACAAACTCGAGATGGGGTGCAGAGAAGCCAATCGTCGAGGTATGGGAGAACCTTCACTCCACATGCCTGCAGAGGGGAGAGAGCTGCCTTCACACACCGAGTGAAGACCCTCGGGGAAAGCAAGAGGCCGAATGGGAGAACCCGGAACTGCCAGTGGTGACCCCGATATGCAAACCTGAGAAAGCGGCGATGTTCTGGCGCAATGGGTGCATGGAAGTACGCATCTGTCTGGTCTACTGATGTGAACCACTCTCCCCTTGCAATAGCCTGCAGGACCTCTGCCGTGGTGAGCGTGTGAAAGGGCAGGGCCTTTAAATACTGATTGAGACCCCTGTGGTCCAGAATGGGACGAAATCCGCCCATCTTCTTTGGCACAAGAAAATTGTTGAATAAAAACCTCTGGGTTGCTGCAAAGGATCCACCGCCTCGATGGCACCCTTGGCCAGGAGMGTGGAAAGCTCCTGGTCCAGGGCATTAGCTTTCAACGGGTCGGTGATGACAGTCTCTCTTACCCGGTGTGATATGTAAGACCGCCGTCGGAATTGTAACCGGTAACCATGGGTCAGATTGGCAACCACCCATGGGTCCACGGTTTGAGCAGCCCAACAACTGAGCTGCTGATGAGAAAAGCATCCGACGGCCGGACTGGTGGCATCACTTCCTTTCCCCACGGCCCCAAGGGGGCCTGGGGGATAACGACCAAAAGCTGTGGCCTGGGCCCATCTGGTTGGCTGGGGAGCTGGCTCACAAAAGTCCTTCTGGGACTCCGTTGTGCAGCATGAGGATAAGGACCTACAGGTCGATCGAAACCCCAAGGTGGTGGCTGAGGATTGGGGCCAGCTGATGGACACCTCAGGTTATGAGGAAATGGAGTCACACTCCTGTTAAGGCCTGAAAGCTGCTGTCTAGTCTGTTGCGCCTGGACAGTACGTTCCAGTGCTTCCACTGCTGCAGAACCAAACAACTCCCCTGGCACCACAGGAACGTTACGGAGGGTCCTACYGCATGTCTCAGTAAATGTGGACTGAGCCAGCCAGACCTGTCTGCAAGCCTGAACCAGGTAGGACAGCACACGTCCCAGCTCCCTTGTCATTAGTGCAAAGGCCTGAAGGGCTGCGTCACTAAAGCCAGTGGAGGTGTTTGCCCCATTAGCATCCTGAAGGGATGCGGAAAGGGCAAACATGAGGTGTGCCAGAGAGTTGCCAAGGCGGCCAGCACGTGTTCCTGAATTATAAGCCTTACAGATGAAGTCATCTGTAATGCGACTTTGGGGCTGCGGGCACCGAACATCATGACACAGAGCCTCATCCGGTGGCACAATGAGCGAGGCAACTGCAGGTTCATCCGAAGGCATTTGATCCAAGCCTTCCTTGACCGCGTCATGCATAGCCGCCAATGCCCGACCATCTGTGTTGAGGCGCGAAAAGGCCCTAGGGTCCCGCCAACAGGCATGCAACTCCCTCAGGTACTCCTCTGATGGAGGAACCGAAAAGGGGGTGGGGGCCCYCCCTCTTCTGAAAAAYGCACTTGCAGGGGTAGACTCCTCCACCTTCGGAACATCTAGCTGTAACTGATTTAGAGCCAGACGCATATCCTGCATTGAGCCATCACCTGACACACTAGAAGCACCCTGAGACGAGGAGCGTGAGCCCGTCTCCGAAGCGTGGGACGACTGTGCCCCCTCCTCACTTCTAAAGTGAGAGACAGAGGCTGCCAAAGACAGCACGTCCTCCTCCCTAGTCAACAGGTATGGTTGGGGACCCTGTTGGTCCACCCAGCTGGCGTGTCTGAAAAAGAGATTTAAGTTCTGCCAACTCTGCAAACAGCTGTGCAACCTGCCTGGAAAGAACCTGATCAGGTTTGACCCACCTCTTTTTAGAAGGGGCGACAGCAACTGTGGCAGTCCTGTGCTTAGAGCGCCTAGGTGCAGCCACCTGACCAGAAGGGGGAAGACTAGCATCATGCTCGGGGTCCAATTGAGCCAGCCGAGCCACTCTCACTGCACGGGGCATATAACTGCAATTCATGTAAGGGTTATCGGACAGGGCCTCCACCAGGTGGTCATGTCCGAGGCACAGATTGTGGCCATCCTCCACCTCAAGCCCAGCTCCACAGCTCGCACAACAGTGGGAGCCGTTCATGCTCACAGAATAAATAAAGGCTAACAACCTTAGCTCAATAACAAGCCTCGAGGCTGAATAAGCTGGGAGAGGGGACGAAAACATTGCTATCACCAACCAATTCACCCACCAACTCAAAAAGGTTAACTCCGTTAGCTCAAGTAACAAGAAATGAGGCTGAATAAGTTGGYAGCGGGGGCGAAAATGCTGCCTTCACCAACAAATTTACACATTAACTTAAAAAGGCTAACACCGTTAGCTCAACTAATCAAAACACAAGCTGAATAAGTTGGGAGCGGGGACAAAAACACTGCCTTCACCACCTAATTCACACATTAACTTAAGAAGGCTAACACCGTTAGCTCAACTAATCAAAACACAAGCTGAATAAGTTGGAAGCGGGGAAGAAAACGCTGCCTTCACCAATAAATTCACACATTAACTTAAGAAGGCTAACACCGTTAGCTCAACTAATCGAAACACAAGCTGAATAAGTTGGAAGCGGGGGAGAAAACGCTGCCTTCACCAATAAATTCACACATTAACTTAAGAAGGCTAACACCGTTAGCTCAACTAATCGAAACTCAAGCTGAATAAGTTGGGAGAGGGGACGAGAACGCTGCCTTTCACCAACAAATTCACTCATCAAACTTAGCAAGGCCAACACCGTAGCTCTGGTGTAGCAAACAGCGATAAGAAAGACAAACGCTGCAAGTTGGGGAACCAGGCGAAAAATGTCGTCACTCCAACAAAACAGCGGATACCTCTTAGTTTTGAAGACAAGTCCGTCGCAGCCCCTTGGAGGGCGATACACCGCTACTCCAGCCA